AGTCATGGCATGAGGGGAAAATTTGTAAATTTGTAATAGCTGCTTACGGTGTTTCTTCACTCCCAAGCTCAAGAGCAGGCACATACGTTCTGATATATAAACAAGCTTATGCACTTTTCAGGGAAAAAAAGGAAAAAAAGAGGTTTAGTGAGGACATAGAAGTATAGAGATATATAATTAAACTGGATTTTATGAATAAATACAGTGCTTGATAGTAAGTGCGTGCACATACGTGGGACACATCTGAAACCTCACGCTTCTGTAGGAATGCTGTTRTCTATAGATTGAAAAAAATTACAAAATTCCATGAGAGAACCTCACTTTGGAGACCTTATCCTTTCCTAAAGCATCGGCCGGGCACTGCTTTTATCCTGGAGGTGAAACCTGCAGGCGCCCTTTCCTGCATGCCCTGTCCTGCTGCTCCTGCACACAGGGATACCCGTCACCATCACACATCCCCTGAGCCCATTCCCACCTGCCTGTGGATCCGCAGGGGCCTCTCCGCTCCCTGCGGACCTGCCCAGCCTGGGCCCCCCGCCTGGGAATCCGGCAGGGCCTCGTTTTTCTCCCATCTCTCCTCCATCAAGGCCTGCTCATGGGTGTTCCTGAAGCCGGTAGAAAGACGCCTGAACTCTTGGATCTGCAAAATCAGTAGAGCTAAAGCTCAGGGTCTTGCAGGGCTCAATTTGTTGAGYATTCACCTAAAAATGTCTTCTTTATCGAGTGCTACATAGCGGCAGTGCTAAAAGCATCTCCCTACTCTCCCAGAGCTGTCATCCAGAGTGCCTTCATTTTCTTCCCTTGTCTAAGGGGATGCCAGCCTTAGGAGATGGTTGTTCAGAAGTGGAAAGGTACATTCAGTGGTTGTTAAGTAGGTTTTTTGSTTTTGAGTAGAATAATTATTTCTTGGTCCAAAGAGAGATGTTTACTCAGTGGGGAAGGSAAAGGGGTTCCTGTCCCATTGGTTGCCTTTTGAGGAATGCTTCAACATTGCTTGGAGCAGAGACTAGAAGGCAGGTCTTATTTAGCGGGGGTAAAGCGCTTCAGCCACGTTCCTGTAGCCTGTAGTCCTGTGGACAAGGCCACTACCTTCAACAGCTCACCTGAAGGTGGCCGTACAGACACAGGCCCCGGGAGCGCTCTTGAACAGGCTGCCACACTGCGATAAAGCAAATGTCACACCTCTTCCAGCTTCACTGGGTGTCGCTGAGCCATGGCAAATCAGGATCTACAGGAACATGGGCTACCATGACCAAGCAGTTTCTGGTAGCTACAGCAGTTTGGATGCTGCGGCTGCATGGGCTGAGCAGCACTGCTAAACTCTTGGTGACCAAGCACCAGGCTTTGGATACAGCCCAGCACTTACCTGCCCTTGACTTTTATGTAGACGTGTAGCRACTATCTTTGAGGTAGGTACTTATTTATGCTTATTAATACGTCTATTCACTCTGGTAGTAATCTGTTTAAAAGATTTCAGTGGGTTTCTGTGGATTCATTTCCTTAAGGGGATACTGTTTTCCCCTGGTGCTTTGATGGATGGAGGCAAATTTTTGTCTACAGGTTGCAAGAGCAGAAATTGGTTTAAGAACAGTTTCCCTTCGGACAGGAGCTGGTCCCTGCAGTGACACTGGGGAGTGTCACTGAAACCATGGACTGGTGATGCGCTAAACACAGTTCAAGAGCTCATKACAAATAGAATCAAATAAAGCTTATTTTGATTTATAGGATGTTTTGCATCAGCTGTATCCCAGCCCTTTGAGAAAAGGGATCGCAAAACATCCTCTCTTCCTGCCATTGTATGGCACAGGAGGACTTCTTTCTCCTCCTTCCTGGGCATGAGTCAGTGGGTACCTTGCGCACTGGCTTAATCATTTTCAAGCCAAAGTCCGAAACTGAAACACAGAGTGAAGGGGGATGGTTAAAAGATCTTGATGCCAGCAAGACACTGTGACCAAACTCTGTTTTCCCACAGTCAAGGAGGAAGGGGAAGAGGGATGTGGATCCTCTTACTAGAAGAGTGCAGTTAATGACTCCTTGAGAAAGGAGACAATTTATTTAGAGGCTAAAATCTGAAATCTCATTTGCAGCTCTAAATTCAGGTAAAAGTAGGTTCCTCGCCTTGGTGCAATCACATCATCAGAATTACAGAAATGCAGGGGACTTCACTCATAGTTCCTTTACCTAATTAAAACATTGATCTCCTCCTGCTGCATATGRCTAGGAAAGGGAAGGATTTCATTAGCACCCAGGCTTCCTGTGAGAGACAGTTCAATGTCAGGCAATCGTAAGAGATAGCATAACCTTCAATTTAGATGCAAAAGTGTCCATTTAAATTCCAGAATATGGCTTAAAGATTCCTCGCTCCCGTTGACTGGCGATTGCRAAGGAGGAGTGCGAGGAATTCTTAATTAGGCAGGACCCAGCTCTGCAGCAAGAGGCCCTGGAAAGAGCTCACAGCTGCTTTTACGACTAAGAGCCAAGACGGGCTGCACGCAGCGGGGCAGGGCACCTGCAGCCAGCTCCCAGCAGATGTCTCTGCTAGGCAATTTTGCTCCTGGAGTCGCCTTTTTTTAATATATATTTTACAGTTACCTACTTGCAGATACATATAAAGCATATTAACCTTTTGCAATCTTTATCCAAATTCTTGTAAAGGCATAAGTCATGAAAATGGTGTCTCGTTTCTCAGTACAGCTTATTTAATTCTCTTGACATATCCATTCCACCAAGTCCTTACGAAATCATTTTGGGGCTAACAATGAAATTACTATTTCCTCTCTCATGGATACAGCTGTGGTGATAATAGCACAATGTAGTCCAAAACAAGTCCAGGAAAGGCACTCTGCAGCAAAAGTGAGCTTTGCGCGGGTCTTTCTCACACTTCTCTGCTTGAATTCCAGCTGCTCTGCACACTGATTGCAGTGATATATTAAAAAAATGCAGAGATCTTTCATTTAAGAGATGAGGTGGGCTTGGCAAACATTGGCCTCACGGCTGGGAGATTCTTTTTCTGGTTCCTCTCAAGGCCAAGAGCTGAGTGGCTGCTGTGAGAGGGGCTGAAGTGCCCCCTGCCACCAGCAGCCTGGTCCGGGGGGTCTGAATCTTGGCTTGGATTCTTGTTGTGTCCTGGAGCTTCTGCCAAACTCAGTTATCCCGTACGGAAGTAGGGGTAGTGGGACTGCAGTGGCTCYTGGGGAGACACGGAAATGCACCGTGTGTTGGGTGAAACCAAAGTGCTGCAAAGCACCATCTAGAGCACGAGGAGGAGGGAGACGGGGCGTCTCGGAGTCTGCTTGGATCATGATAGCGATAATGATGATGAACAACAGTCCCAGGAGGCTCCCGGGAGCCTCTTCTCCATCGCGCTGTTGCTGTGTGCATGAAATCCATACGGATGTCAGTCAGACACGTCAATTGTATCTGTTAGGAATGGCAACAAAAGGATAAACAGAAAAAATATACTCAAGTATAGCTGCTTTAACTCTGTGCTTTCCAGGCCAAGGAAAAGAGATTTTGCAAATACTTGGATAGAGAAAGGCCAGGCTTTTTTTTTCTCTAGGATTTTGAGGGTAGGCCTCAGAATATTTATTTCACAATTACTTTCTCCTTTTCCTGAACATCATGTCAGGAGCAGTAGACTAGACTAGAGCACTACCTAGAAGAGTTAGTCCCTRGCTAACTATTTCTCATCCAAGTATATGAGAGAAATACTAGAAAAGTGATTACATTATCTCTCTTTACACAGTGTGAAGTAGAGGAACACAGGAATTAAGTGACCCAAGAGCAGCCATCAAACCTAAAGACCAAATAATATCAAATACCATTCCAGAGAGCTAACTGCAATATCAGTCTTCTCTTCAAAAGCGAAATTCATGTTATGGGTGGTCAGCTAAGGTCTCATGGTAGAGAGTCTTTGTGTATACCTTGCCCTTTGAGCAAAGTGCTAATGACATTTCCTAATTACCTTCATACTGTCAGTCTCACCTGCAGGAGTCACAGTGGTTAACATCATTATTATTCAGCAAATTTCAGTTTAAATAGTACATAGTTCAGATATGACTAGGATGAGCAAGACTCATCTAGTACTGTACAAACGCAGTTTATTTCTCTTTGAGTGACCTATGTGAAACCAGTGGCTCTTGGCAGCATAAGCCACAGTGTCACTATTGTTTGCTAATCTATGTGAAATAGAGAAAGAAACTCAGAGAACACGAAAAATGAAAACAAGGTCCTTAGTGTCGCTTTCCACCTTCCCAGAACCTCTAGTCAATTGGCATCCACTTTGCAGTAGTCAGTGCCAATGCCAAGGCTTGCAACGTACCTGGAGGGGTCTTAAACCTATTTCTGACAGTCCTGACAGAATCATTTCGACGTTAGTCAGATTATTCCTACAAGACAAGCAAAAGTGTTGGCCACGGCACGTCTTCTTTTCTCAGCATCACTCCCACGTACTCTGTCATGTGAGTAGCAAGTGTCTGTTTAGCCTGGAGAGAAGTTTGCTGAAAGCAGATACTGTAAAGTTAGAGCTATTCCAGAAAAATGG